TTTCGTGGGTATTTGGATGGGGAGGATTGAGACGACTGTTGTACAGGCAGTCGACCGATTGAAGCCGATTGAAGTGATTGAGATTCAATCGGGCATTGGATTCAAGATTCTCAGAAAACTTTTCCTGCAATCTGGAATCCTGGGTCTGCCGATTGAAATCGATTGACACGATTGAATTTCAATCGGGCCCTGGATCCAAGATTCAAGATTCTCAGAAAGCTTTTCTCCTGCAATCTTGAATCCTGGGTCTGCCGATTGAAATCGATTGACGCGATTGAAATTCAATCGGGCCCTGGATAAAAGATTCAAGATTCAAGATTCTGAGAAAGCCTTTCCTGAAATCTTGAATCTTGAATCTTGAATCCCGGGCCGGATTGAAATTCAATCGCTTCAATCGGTTTCAATCGGGATTCAAGGTTGTGAGAAAACTTTTCCGAAGATCTTGAATCTTGAATCAAGGGCTCGACTGAAAGTCAATCGCTTCAATCGGCTTCAATCGGGCTCAGGGTTTCTCTGAGCGTTAACAAAGTCTCAAACGTAACTTCCCCCCCGAGTTATCTGGCAATTTTGGTGCACGTCCTGTCCATTATGCCCCTGGCCCTCTGCCCCTTACTATAAAGAACACTCTGTGACGTAACCGGATAGGAGTAGCATATATATATATATGTGTGTGTGTGCGTGTGTACATGCATTTCTGTGTTTGAGCCTTACTTTAAAGAACACTGTACCGTGAACCCTATTAAGTTCAATAGGCCTTATTGAATTCGGGGATATTAAAAAAAAGTATTCTATAGCGCATTCTATTGGGTATTCTATAGGGTAGGTATTCCATACGGTATTGGGTAAGATGTTCGTCAGGGCGTTTATTTAGGAAGGTGGTGTATGTATAGGTCTTCAGGGTATTCTATAAGGTATCACCGTATTTTATATGAATTTATTGCAGAAGGTTTGTAGACAGGGTATTCTGTAAGGTATTCTATAGGCAATGCTCCTAGGTTCCCGGTTTGTTTCTTTGAAATCCCTTATTCAATAAGCTAACGTTAAACTGGCGAATTTTTAGATCTTGGGCTCCTCCTGATTGTCCTTGTTTCTTAACCGTTTTCTGTAGGGTATGCTATAGGGTATCCTACACCAACGTATTCTAAAAGGCATCCTAAAAGGTATTGTAAAGGACATTCCATGCATAAGGTATATTGAATTCAAGGTAGGCAGAAGGTATATTGCATGGACATTTTATAAGGTATTTTGTAGGGTGTCCCATAAAGTATTGTACAAGACGCATGCTGCAGCCTATATTGAGATAGGTATTTTGTAAGGTATCCTATACGAAATTGTTGAAAATACATAGAGGGGTGTTCTATAAGGTAGTTGTAAGGCCTTCTAAATGGAAGTTCCAGGCTATTCGTCTTGGTTCCTGATCTCCTTCATGGGCACCCTTTATCCATATGCTACAGTTCAACTGGGGACTTCTCAGATCTTCAGCTTCGACTGGTTTTGCATAACTAGAATCCCTATCTCTAGGGTACTCTACAGGGTGTTCCATTGGGGATTCTCGAGGGAATCCTAAGCATACCATCTGGAATACCCTGTTGAATACCTTATAGACGACCGCCCGTATATGATAGCCTTCGTATACCGTACATATGCGATATAATACCTACAGAATACCTATAGAATACCTTATAGGATTCCCTCTAGAATCCCCTATAGAACACCTTATAGAGTACCTTATAGATAGGGATTCTAAGTATGGAAAACCAGCCGAAGCTAAAGATCTGAGAAGTCCCCAGTTGAACTGTAGCATATGGATAAGGGGTGCCCATGAAGGAAATCAGGAACCAAGACGAATAAATAGCCTTAGAACTGCCTTACAGAAGGCCTTACAACGACCTTATAGAAGCAGTAGTAAAGTATAGGGTAAGCATAGGAGGTATTTAATAAGGTATTCGGTTCTCTGTACGTATCCCTACTAAATTTAAATAAGCTTCGATCTGTTTGAGGAGTTCCAAGATTCCAGATGCCCCACCGCGGCCCGTCAAGCGGACCTTTCGGTCCAACACTCCTGTTCCCCTCCCAAAGGGTGGATAAGCCCGGGGAGGATAGTAACAATATATATATATATATCATGCTACTAAACATGGTCAGTGTGTCCAGATTAGGGGGGGGCTTCCTGGGTCTTGTCCACACAACATGCCCAATTACCCACCAAAAAGGGTGGATCTTTTTTTTTGGGGGAAGCACAATAACACACACACACACCATGCCGCACCCCTATATACTTTGTACAACTCCATAAGAGATAACCTCTATGTTTCTGCCCATATAAACCCCAAACCCTGAAACGCTGAAGCTAGCTCTCAAACTCTAAGGTAACTCTACCCAGCCAGGTCTTGGTCTATGTCATGCGGAAGACCCACTAGGTCCGGCCCACAAGTGCTGCATTTTCGTTTAATGTTTCTCTGACATGTCACAGCATTATATACACTTGCTTATTTGTGGCTCCAGATCAAATTAAAAGCTGGAGCCTGCCGCAGTTGTATAGTTGCTCGTTTGGCATCATGGCCCCAAAGAATAAGGCCAAAGCTGCTCCGAAGGCCGAGCCGAAGGCTAAGAAGTCCAAGCCTATGGTGGTTGCAGATGATCCCACACCGGCGGAGATGAAAGCCAGCATTCAAAGGATGCTGAATCTTGTGAAGTACAAAGCCGACCCCTTGAAAAACAAAAGTGGAGATCGCCTGACCGAAGCCCAGGAAGTGCTGGAGGCCGGGTTGCACTTGTCCATTGTTAGACATTGGTGTGGTTTTAATTTTTTTGTGATCCTGCATGTGCCAGGCCTACCGACAGATCTCCGACTCGGACCGAAAAGGCTTCATCGCTGGCTACCAGAAGCATGTGCTGAAGGACTTGAAGTGGATGGGCCAGTACACCAAGAAGGTCGTCAAGGAGGCCGAAGAGGAGGATCACTCGACCAAGGGCATGATGACCTCGACTCTTAGATGCTATTTTGTTTTCTTAGTTTTTATTCTTGATGCTGTGCTATTCAATGCCACTCAGGTCCCGAATTTTCGAGCTCAATGGCCTCAAGTTCGGCGACTTTCCAGAAAAGAAGCAGAAGAAATTGCTGGAGGGTTTCCTCCAGGAGTGTGCGAGTTTCTGGGGACACGAAAGGAACATGGTGCCCCGCCCGAACTCAGCAGGTACTACTACAGGACTTTGGTGGAAAGCACTGATGCAGCCCGATCCACCGACTCAGGCACCTTCGAGATGACTGCTAGCCTTGCAGCGAAGGACATGAAAAGCCTGCAGAACAGCAAGGCTGAGGTGAAGTTGGAGCACCCCGAGCGAAGCGAGCTGGCCAACTTGAGCAAAGTGGCCAACAGTGCAGTCAAGAGCTTGGATGCAAAACATGGAGGGTTGAGCTCGGAATGCATTGCTCTGGAGAACTCCAAGTTCGCTTTCAAAGCGCCGGAGATCAGGGCTGGCCTGGAGACTCTGAAGAACTTTGTCGAGGATTTTCGAAAGACCCAGGTCCTGCTGGATCGCACGCTTTCCACGATGGACGAGGCAGCCTGCAAGGCCGAGAAAGCCGACGTCGACCAGTGGAACCGCAACGCCCGCGAGCATCTTGACAATGTGAAGTTGTTGCTCAACAAGGTGAAGGGCTGGCTGGTCTAGGATCCATCGATCATGGATCTGGATATCAAGCAGCACTTTGCTGCAGTTTTGGTTTTGAGTCGAGGGCAGGCGAGCTTCAAAAAAGCAGTGCTTTGCATCCACTTTTGCTGCCAGACAGCATGCAGTGCGTGTTGTTCTTTCAAGCTTCTACTGAACATCTCTGCTTGCATGCAGCCAGCTGCCGACTGGGCCCTTTGCGTGCAAAAGGGCGAGTGCACCCGGAGACTTCAGCTGACAACTGTGCTTGCTCTGCAATGTTGCTGTGTAGGTGTTTTTCATGTCACCTGTGTGCCCTGCAATGCATCGGTTTCTCAAGTTAGTTTCACTTCGATCTAGATCTGAAGCCATGTGCTCCAAGAACAGTCGTGGTTACAATGAGGAAGAGCTTCCTGAGCAGAAGAGGTTTCGGGCCAATCTGTCGGATGCTTTTTTGGCCGGGCAGATCACAGCTGCCAGGACAGCTTCCCTGTTTAAGGATGCTCAAGCTTCTGGTGCCACTGGTGTGGACGACTGGGCTTGCGTGGGGGAGAAGAATGCAGCCAGAGGCCCAAGAAGGAAAATGTTGAGGGGGTCCCAGTGGCCAGACTGCTACTATGCCGACATAGAGCTGCATGACCCCAAGCTTCAGGAGAAGACCACCAGGTCTCCTTGCCGTTTTTGCTTCCCCATGAGATTGTGGGCAAGCTTTTGAGTTTGGTAATTCCACCTGGGTCCTGAGCCAGCAGGTGTTGCAAGAGGATGCTGACCTGATTGAGAAGTTTTCTTCCTCGTGCCAGCCAGCGAAAGATCCAGCAACAGTTTTGCCACTGGGGCTCTGGAATGATGGAGTGCCTTGCAATTGGGACAGGTCCCAAAGCTTGGAGGTTTTAGCTCTAAGTTTCCCATCTAAGTGCCTCTGTTCTGTCTGAAGAAGATGTTCGAGGCCAAGAAGTGTAGCATGGATGCAGCAATGAAGGTTTTGGTCTGGAGCTTCGAGCAGCTGGTTGTTGGAAGGTATCCTTCTCGAAGGCATGATGGCAGCCCCTTCGATGCGCGAGTCGACAAGGCACGTATTCGTCTAGCTGGGTTAGATTTGCCAAGTGCATGTTTAACACAGATCAGGGGCGACTGGAAAATGTTCAAGGATACCCTTTCCCTGACTGCGCACAACGAAAACAATGGTTGCTGCTGGATTTGTCCCATGACACCCGATAAAGTGCAGGAAGTGTGCTTGCAGGCCTCCTGGAGACTTCAGTATTTTGATCAGGAGGCCTTTATCATGAGGTGCTGGAAGGAGCAGAGGCACATGAGTGCTGTCTGGCAGTTTCCAGGTTTCTGTCTCAAGGTCATCAGATTGGATTGGCTGCACATTATGGATTTGGGTTGTGCTGCAGATGTTGCTGGGAATGTTTTGTGGCTCCTGCAAAGCAAGCTGCCCGGTCCCAACATTGCCAAGCGAGTTGGGGAGCTCTGCAAAGAGATTTTGGAGGAGTACAAGAACCAGGGTGTCACATCCGATCGACTGGTGGCAAGGATGCTGCCTCTGCTCCAAAGCTCAAAGCTAAAGGTGCTGAAACCAGAGAGCTGATACCTATTTTGGATGTCTTGTGCCGAAAGCTTTTGGACAGCGCTAGGGAACTGGATTCGGCAGTTGTGGCTTGCATGTCTTTGCTGTTGGCATGCTATGCTGCTTTGGATGTCGAGCCCTATGACCCCAACCTCATGGAGCGAGAGGTCAGAAGGTTTGCTTGGCAGTATGTGAGTTTGAGGGATTACTATAGTGACAATATCGCCTGGCGAGTCAAGCCGAAGTGGCACCTCCTCCTGCACCTGTCACAGAGCTCTACATGTCCAAAGGGAGCTACTGCAGCCATGGTGAGCTTGTCCTTGACAAGTTCATGGCCAGAGACCCCCTGCCTCTGCTGGCTGCTTGAAAATATATGCGCGAGTGACTGCATGCTTTGTGGTAGGGTTGAGGGTAGGATTAGGCTCATGAAGGCCTGCATGGCCTGCATGCGTATTATAGTGACGGGCAAGATGTATAGGAATCACTTTCTGGAGCCGTGGTTTCCTCTCTTTTTCGGACTTTTCGCCCGTCGCTGGTGGCCTCGCTCTATTCGGACTAGCATGCGTTCTTACCCACGATGAAGGCACTCCAACCCGAGCTCTGGTCTCGTTTTCACGCGACACAGCAGGATGTTTTGGTTTCGACAGAAGCAAACACGGTGTCATGCTGAGTGCGTCCAGGGCATCAGCACGGACGTAGGGGCTGCCAATAACAAATTCAGTGACCTCCTCGACCCTCGTGCAACTCCAGATTGCGGAGATGTCGTCTGCTTCCAGCATGCTGTTTGCATATCATGTGCCTCCTCCCAGACCAAAGCTCAGCTGAATGTTCGTGGATGCGAGTGCAGGTGCCGAGTATACGGCCGCAGTGGAGGAGATCATCAAGCACTCCCTCGAGACCTGTCTGCCGTAAATTGCTTTGGGGTCATCGCCGCAAGGCTGACGTGAAGCGATCTAGGGGCTTCATGGCTGTGCTGGCGTCGTACGCATCGCCTTCAGACAAAAGCAGATTTCTTCCCGAAAAAGCTTTTGTTTTTGGCAAGAAGCTGAGCGTATGCTCGCGTGGATTTTTATAGAAGATGTTGATGCGATGTGTAGGAGGGGCTGGAGTACGAAAACGTTATGAATTCTTGTTGTGGTCATTGTAGTGTCGAGAGAGTTGCTTCGTGTGTGCTGTCCGTGGTAGGCCTTTTTTAATGCAGGATATGCCAACATATTCCAGCCTCTCGGTACACCAAGGAGCGGAATGTGACGGTTTTCGAGCACCCGGCCACTGGGATTCGCGTGTGGTCTGAGGTGGGGGAATGGGGGAAGTGACGTTGAAGTTTGAGTATGAGAGCGCAAAGAAGCTGTGGCAAAGCCACACGAAATTTGCCGAACGGTTCCCAGGCAGGAAAGTTAGCATAACGGCATATGCGGCATGTCCCTATCGAAAAGCGGATGGAAAGCTGGGTGACCCAGTGCTATTCCTACACGAAGCGTGTCGAGATTTTGGCACACACTTTGACGGTGTTGTGGCGAGGTCATGGCCGAATTTGGGAACGCCGAGACATGCATCTCGTGCTTCCAGAAATTCTATCGATTCGACTCCACCGGAACAGTCCCATCAACCAATCCTGGCAAACCCACTGACTCCTTCATGAGGGGGTTTCAGCATCAGACATTGTAGGGCGCTTCGGGTCTGGCCTTTTTGTTCCAGCCGTCCGCATGTCATTATCAGCTTTCCGACAAGCTGACAAGCGCAATGCCTGCACAGGCACTGGACCTGCGGGCGGCTCGGCCGGGCTGTCGCACGGAGGTGCTTTACCACTACACCACCAGGCCAGTGGGATTCAGCCTATAACACTTCGCCCCGGCCACTGATTCAACCGGTATTTGGCCAGGGAAAGCTTCAGTACCTTTCTCGATCACCGACAGCCAGTTCAGGAGGCTTGGATTGGGTGGGTCCAAAGAAGCATTGTGTGTCCGTTGTGGAAACACGCGGATTGTTTTTTGCTCTGCGTGTCCTAATTCAGGGTTGTGGTACTTCTGTCTTATCTAGATACTTACTGCAAAGTTTAGATGGTATGGGTTGCGCAGCTTTGCAGCCCGCTATGGCACTATGGCACAGTGAGCCGCTGACCGACGCGGCGGTCCGAATCACGGCGGCATCGGAAGGCTTTTTACCGAAAGCCGAAAGGGCCGAAAAGGAAATCAGACTCCAAAGCCACTCTGAACGAGCGCTGTGCCGTCCAAAATTGCAGTTGTTGTGTGAGCAGTGCGGCGACAGACAGGGACCCGTTCATGACCTGGGGGATGTGCAAGCGAGGGCAGGCGCCGCCAAAGTTTGGATCTTTGTCAGTTGCCTTTGGAGAAGAGCCCGCCAAAGTTGTGCCAAAGTTGAGAAAACATGAGAAAACTTCCAAACTCGCGGTTGAGCTCATCTGGGCGTGGCAACTCCTGCAAACCATCGGAAGTATTGCAGCTGATTTGCATGTCCGACTGTCTGTCAGTCCTGTGCGTTTGTATCGGCCGTTTTGGAAATGGGTGCTACAGAGAAACTGTCCTTGCGGAGAACTGAAGATGTTTCGGTGCTCCGCGTGTTCGGGACAAAGACACGGGCTGCAATGGGCAATTCGCTGCAATTCGCCTTGCAATATGTTCATCGCGTTTTTCAGTCGGATTGCTAAGTCCATCCAAACAGCTTTGTTGCAAAGCCGGGGGCACCCTGCCCTGCTGCCAGGCACTCAAGTCCTTGTGCTATGGTGTTGGGCTCCCGGATGTCACTGAAACGCAGAGTGTGCAAGCAACCTGTATGATGCTGGTGCAACGCCGTCCTCGAGCTGGGGCTACATGAGCGTGGCAACTTAAGGTTGCTTGGCAGTAGAGGCTTTCTTGCGGTATGGGAGCAAGTGACCCAGGAGCCACTCAACATGAGGGCGAGCTCGAGGTTGGGATACGACAGCTTGCGACAGACACTTTCCTACTGTATGGACCGCTGAGTCACCACTCCTGACCAGTGATCATGTTCCGCGCACCGTGAAGTATGTTGTCATATGTTGCCCATGCTACCCTGCTGTTGTCCCGCATCTGAAACACCGCATCTCACCACAAACGAATCTCAACCCACACTGCTCCACAGCAGATCATTGAATTGCCTGAGTGGTACTCATTGTCGCAGGGAGCCGAACCAGCTCTGCGGCAGCCACTCGAACTCCTGGCGAGTTGCACTTTCCAGTTTGTGCATTCAAGAGTTATATGGAGACTGGTTCAGGCACGCGTCCTTTAGCATTCCCTTGCTAGCGCCCGCAAGCTGCTGTGCCTTGGAGTGACAAAGCCGGAGGTCCAACAGCCGATTCTTCCTTGGCGATTGTCGCCCAAGGTGAGCAGACACCTGACCAACCCGAGAACTGCGGGACTCCTGGCATTC